GCGTTTGCTCCTGGGCACCTGGCTGGCCTCGGCAGCCCGAGAAACGGCTGCACACTCCTTTGTCCTCCCCGCAAGCTGTGGCTCACTGGGAGCCGGGTCTTCTTCCCCCAGCTTGAAAGAACCCCAGGCCCCGCACCGTTCTGGGACGCCTCTAGCGCCGTGAGGTTTTTGGCAGCCTTCAACCCAGCCACCCCTGGACCTCCACCAGCTCTTTCTCGTGGGCCTGGTGCCTCGGAGCAATGTATTTTTTAGAGCCCGATTTGGAGAGGAGAGAGGGGGTCCAGGGCCCAAGGCTACAGCCCGCTGCAGACCCTCGTTTATTTTGAAAACAGTAAAAATAAAAGGGGGGCCCCTCCAGAAGAGCCTCCTACCTCTGTCACGCTTCACCTTTCCAAGAGCCAGTTCCCTCATAGAGGGCGTGCACAGTAATCTCACTCCCTCCCAACTAGGCCACCCGCTCCCGGCGCTTACCTTCCCAGGCCTCTCACCCTTGCACAGGCAGGGTTGGGCCCGCTGAAGCCCCTGCCGCCCACCGCTCCGGGGAGGGTGGTGGGTGAACCCTTCCTGTAAACGCCTCATAAACTGCCCAGGCCACGCTGGGAGCCCCACTGCCGGGTCAGGACGCCTTTTACTGCCCAGCTCGATTGCACACCATAAACCCTATCTCACAATGGAATTGCCCCGGAAATTCTCCTTTAAATTATAGAGTTTGGTCCCTGTGTACAAAGCGCTTCCCTTCAGAGAGTCCCGGCTGCCCCTGGTTCACCGCACCCTCTCGGGGTCCTGGGAGCACAAAAGGTGGCGGGAGGGTTTAGACCAGGATGCACAGGAGTCCCAGCTCCTGTGGAGTGGACCACGCGGGGGTGGGTGGGAGGCGGGGGCTGCCGAGACAGGTGGGCGCCCGGCGGCGTCCCAGGGACGTGCCAGGACCCTGAGGGGCAATATCCGGGGATGTCCCTTTATGGCGGTTCAGGAGGATAGCTTGTCTTGTATGGGAAATGGAGAGGGTAGGACGAAAAGAAACAAATATTTCAAATAGCATCGTTTTCTGGAAAGAAAGAAAAACCTAAGTAAAGGGAGACAGGGAAACAAGAAGAAAGCTGGGAAAGCAAAGAGGCGGAATTAAGCGGCTTTAGACCAATAAATTGTTCCTTGGGTGACACAGAGCAAGAAGCAAAGAGGAAGACCACGGCCCCATCGCCGCCGTCTGTCTAGACTCGGGCGGCCAAGCTGCCTATAACAATGGTGTTTAAAGTAGAAGCTGCCCTGAGCGAGGCGAACTGGCAGCCCGAGTGGGGAGCGATTTCAGGGAACTGGGGAAGGAAGCAACGAACGTGTCCACGGAGGGAGGGCTGGGCGACCGCGCCACAAGCTCATCGTTGCCCGGGTTTTGCCCGGCGCGTGTCTATGCTGCTCTGGCAGGACGCACTGCTTCTCTATCCTATCCCGGCCAAGGCGGATCCAAATCCTGCCCACGAGGCCTCGGTCCCTCTAGGCCCAAGTCAGCCATCTGGGCCGAGTCTTACGGGCTCCGAAACCTCCCTTTCGCTCCTGGGCTTCTCCCCTCCAGCCTTCTGTGGCCGGATTTTAAAACGAAAAGGCAAAACAAAGTCAGGCTTTCAACGAGGTCTCTTTAATCGCAAGTCATGGAACCACTGGTTCCCTATTTATTTACCTGAAAGACAAGTGCCCTCGGTTATGTGTGATAACATTCACAGAAATGCTCGTTGACGCTCGACCCGGCGCAGGCACATGTAAGCCGGTTTCCAATCAGCCGAGTCTTTAAATAAAGACACTGTTGGCTGCTCTACCGGAGCTGGGTTCCTACCTATTTGGAGAGTGTGTTTCCCCTGCTTCTTGCTACACAAGTAGTCCTCAATATTTAAATTCGACTAAGGATGTAAAGCCAGCCGTCCGCAGCGAATGGCGCTTGCCGGGGAGCCCTACAATTCGCCTGTCGCATCTCTGAACGTTTCTATCCGTGCCCCTCGCGCGACTGCGCTTCTATTCTCCACCCAGGGAGCGGTCGCCGGCCCGGGTGTAGTGACAAGCAGGTCCTGACGCGTGCAAACGATCACGGGCAGCTGCGGGGTCTTGTCTGGGCGAAGGCCCGCTGAGGGGAAGCCGCTCCCCGGCGGTCCGGGCGGGGAGAGCCGCCAAGCAGCCGCCGGCCGGCCAAGGGCAAGGGAGGCCCACCGCGCCGTCCCCTAGGCCTCTGACACGCCGGTCGGCCTGCACTTACCTGGAGCATCCATGATCGGTGGAGAGAAGTGGTCGCCACCGATCTGCTCCTTCACCATTTTGGAGTTACACAAATTGAGCTTTATAAAACCTGTGAATTGGATACACAACCACTGGTGGCTTTCCAGGAAGCTATAAAACCCTTCTTACACTCAGATGTTGTGAAATATTGTGCATTATATAAAAATATAATGAAGACGTGTGTCTGTAATACCTACGTGTGTATACAGAGAAAAGGAGAACACACAAATTCACACACACACATACACACACACACACCAGGAGAGATGTTAGCCAAAACCCAGTCCCCAGCTTTACAGCGTGTACAGCGCGGAGATGTGGGTCGTAAACATTTTGTGGGCTTGGCGGAGGCTATTACGACCCAAATAAATGCAGCGCGCGGCGTGTTCACAGGACTCTGGGGCGCTTCGAAGGGTTCTCTGTTTGCTTTTGCGTTTTCCCTGGGAAACCACTCTGTAGGCCGGGGCTGATTTGCGCACAGCGCTCCGGGCCGCCTCCAGGGAGGCTCGGAGTGTCTTACCCGCCCAGGGTCAGGGAGCGGCCGGACCACGATTGGGGTCCCCTCCCTTCTGTTCCCCCGAACAGGGGACACCGGAGCAGCCTCGGTAGTTCCACTGCCGAAGAAATGAGGCGGCAAGAGAAAGTACGGGCGGCTTCCACACCGTGAGCTCCAGTCCTGGAGCGTGAGTGGGGTGGTTATTTTAAGTGTTAATTTGGACGTCACATTTATTTCAGAATAACCAAAGCAGTTCCTGATCTGGCCCCCGGGATTCCCCATCCCGGCCAACTCAGCCGCCGGACCCAGACCGGACAGTCACCAAGAATGTCTTTACGCCCAATTTTCAACTGCCCAATTTTATCGTCACGAATTCAAGGCGGCGGAGTCCCGGGTCCCGGCTCGCCTGCGGGGTCCGTACTGGCCCGGCCCTGTGCCGGGGCGCGGGCCTCGGGGCCGCCGGGGCCGCCGCGGGTCGGTTGCCTCGGTGTGTGCCCTCTGCACGCCCTGGGGCGTGGGGTCACCAGCTCCCGGGGCTGTAGGCGTCCGTCCGCCGGTCAGCTGGCGTCCCCCCGTGCCCTGCTGCCCCGAGGCCTGTCCCAGGCTGGGCACGGTGACCCCGAAGCGGTCCCCGCCGACGAGCTACAGCCTCTCAGTCACCCGGACCGCTGCAGCCCTGCAGCGCTGGGTCCTCGGGGGCGCGGAGTGGGGGCGATGCGGACCAGGCGGGCCCCCGCAACTTGCCAGCGAGGTTCTGGGCCGGAGTGAACAACACCGAAAATATACGACTGCAGTTTACTCAAATCTGGGGCTCCCATTCCAGAAAGGCTCGCGTCAAGTCGACATCTTAGGAACTTCCCAGGCTCGCGACGGCGGGAGATGGCGGCGCGGGCACCTCTTGCGTGGAGCCACACTGCCATCTGCTGGCCGTACCGCGGCCCTGCAGCCAGGCCGGCCTGAACTTCGTCGGCCGCCGCCGTGGCGGCCGGGCCTTGCGCCCGGCTCCCAAAGGGCGGCGGGGGCCCAGTTCCCGGGGGGCCTCGTGGAGTCCGGAATCTCCGCTGCCGAGGGGCAGTGCCCATAAAAGAGAGCTGTTTCCTCACTCGCTTTATCGGCAGCAGACAGAGCAAACAAATGAAAGGGCTTTGGTGAAAAATCCTAATTGGGGCTGAACAGTTGTAAACTCATTAAGGGCCGAATTCCAGACAGTTCGCAGACCCGGCCTTTATGGCACACCCTTACTGCCCATTCTTTGAAGTTCCTTCTGTCTGCAACAACAGAGGGCGTCCCAACCCGGCAGCGGAGTGGGGGTAGTGGGCGAGGGGACGCCCCTTCCCCCTTCCCCAGCGCCCTGGTTCCCCTTTTATGCGTCGCGTCTAAACACTGGCAACTTTGCAGAAGTCGTGGGGGGGGGGGCGACAGAAGAAAAGGGGGAGGCGAGGCTGAGCCCTCTGGCCGCCCCTGCCACATCTGGAAGGTGCTCGGGCCTCCGAAGTTGTGGCTGTGCCCCCGCAGCCCTTTACACCCCATAAACGGTAACAGCCCTCATTTTCTTTTATGAAGCTTCGGGGCTCGTCGGTTGCCTCGGCCCTGCCTCTGCCAGGACTTGTCGCTTGGGAGGGGTACTCGGTGTAGGTCCAGAATCACCCGGGCCAGACAGGCAGAACTCAAGGGGTGTGGGTCCCCAGGCCTGTGGTCCCCTGCGCACCCCTAAATTTCTACTTGGGCGGCCACGTTAGGCCTCTGGACGGCCGGGCTCCTGTTTCCCTCCTCCGAGCGTCCTTAGGAGGCTGACCCTCAGCTCTAGGTTCTGCCGCACCACCTTCCCCCTCCAGGCCAGAAAAGGCCCCAGAAGTCTCCTCCTGCGGCCCGGGCTTGGAGACTTTCTTAGGACACCAAGATGAACGAGTGGCCTTTCCACCTCTACTGAGCAGTGATGCCAGGGTCCCCAGCCCAGCTCCTCAGACCCTTCCCCACCGCCCCCCAAATGGACACAAAGCTGGGAGACGGGCCTCTCCGCCGGGATTCCCAGGCTTCTTCAGTTGCTCACGCAGCCACCGCAGCCGGCCCGGCCTGGAGCGCGTAGGCCCGCCTGGGCTGACTTGAGCAGGTCCGGACTCCGGAAAGCCGGCCAGAGACAGAACTGGGCTCTGTCCCTTCCACGCCAGCCTGGCCCCCACCCAGAGATTACCGGGCTCCCCTGTCCTGGAGAAGAAGGTGCAAAGAGCCGACCCGAAAAAAATAGAAAAGAATCAATATATTTTATTTGGCAAAAAGTTAAATATCATCTCAAAACAACAATTTGGTCCGTAGGCTTTGAGGTAACTATTGCAACATATACAGTGTATGTTCAGCCTGATGGAAACCCCCGATTCATCAAGGATACAAATCTACAGTAGCCCAATGGTGGTTTCATAGTGTATAATTTATTATCAATAAAATTAACTCCATTACAATAAGCATTCATTTTCCACCATTAAAGTTAAACGTAAACCATAGGTAGTAACCTTCTGCACATATGTATAGCTCCGAATTTCATTGTTCGTCTGGTGTAAAAACAATATTCAAGCATATCTGATTGTGTACTTTTTCTTTAATATGTAGGTTATATATACAACAGATAAGACACAACATTAGAATATGTGGAGACCAAAATGCCTGCATTTCAATGGAGAGAATCATGAACCTATGCATCCTGGAGAATCTTTTCTTAAAAATTTTTTTTTATTTCACTGGTAAATTCTTACAGCTAGTTTACAATCAAAGGTTAACAGCCAAGTTATACAGAAGACGTATTCTACTACAGAGCTATACTCTATGCAACCGTTTTTTTCCCCTCATAAACAACCTGAGTTCAAATTGAATTCTAGCTTCCACAATCACAACGGTAAGGGTACGTCATACAGCACAGAAGTTTGAGTCACAAAACATAATTACCACAATAAAACAGTGTTCAAGTATCTCAGCAGATCGCTCCGCCGCACAAAGAGCAATTAAATTAACTACACAGACTAAAAACTAGACAGGCCGCCGTTAACAGTTGTGCATTATAAAAAGGTAGTTATTTTTCTTTTAAGTCAGGTACAGGTAGATTTTTTTTTTTTTTTAATATATACACGCTTAGCGCACACAGCCATCAGCGCCAAAGCCCCCTTTTGTCGTCTTACAGAAAACGGAAAGCTTACAATACCTCCTCCATCAAAGCAGCAGGCCAAGGAGCCAGCCTGAGCAGGGTTTGCCACCGGGTAGATGAGGCCCGGCGTTTCGAGCCGCTTTGCGCCGGGTGGTGGAGGCTGGGCGGGGGTGGGAGACGGGGAAGGGGTCAGGCAGTTCTTCCTCTTTCGCCAGCTCGCTCCCTTTTCTAAACGAACCCCAGTGGCATCATTCGTCTTTCGCGCGGTCCTTGTTGATTTTCTTCATTTTCATCCTGCGATTCTGGAACCAGATCTTGACCTGCCTCTCCGTAAGGTTGAGCAGCCGGGCCACCTCGTACCTTCGGTCCCTGGTGAGGTACATGTTGAAAAGAAACTCCTTCTCCAGTTCCAGCGTCTGGTGTTTGGTATAGGGGCAGCGCTTCTTCCGCGTGGAGCGCGCGTGAAGCCAGTTGGCCGCCGGGTTATCTGCGGGGGAGAGAGACACCGGGTTTAGGAGGGGGAGAAGCGCCCCCAGGCTAGGGGCCAGGGAGCCTCCTGGGGACTCAAGCCAAAGTACAGGACTCCGTTGAATAGGTTAGGGTAGGCCGACGAACCTAGGACACAATGGAACCCTGGCAGACAGACGCAGGGACGGTCACTTACAATTGTACGCCGTAAAACCTCGGCTCCCCCCTCCCCTCCGCGGCTCTTCTCTGTTCTCCTGTCCCCTGTCCCCTCCTCTCTTTCCTCCACTCTCCTCACGTTGTGTAAAGAACGAAATTTGGAAACAGATCTCCTTCTTGCCACGTAGAGGGAAACCAACCACGCTGCTCTGAGTTCGTGTAGCAAGATTTATATTTCTTTTCTCTCTGAATTTCTCTGTCTTCCCTGCCCCATCTTTGCTTCTACTCTTCCCACTCCTTATTTGACCTCCCTGGAAGCCCGTGGGAGGAGGGCAGGCCGGGCGGGCGCCCCTGGGCGCCTCAAGGCCGTTGATCACTTCTCCAACTTATTTGCATAATCTGGGATGGGGACCCTCGTGGCCCGACCGCCCGCAGCCTCATTTTAGGCTGGGTTTACGCCGCCACCAACTGAAGGCAAGGAACGGAGGGAATCGTTCATCTCCCCTAGCGTTCCAAGCAAGGCTGCCCCGGCTGCCGTTGCTGCCGCTGCTCCGGGACAATCTAGCTGCACAAGACTTTCTCCGCCGCGCTGCTTTCGAAGAACGGCCCAAAGTATCTGGGTCCTGGGCCAGGGCGGCAGACGAGAGGGGCGGCGGGTCTTGCCTCCGCCGGCAGCGCCCTGCCCCGCCCCCTCTCGCGGCCGCGGCAGCAGCCTCCCCTCCCCCCGAGCCCCTCGGGCCCGCTCGTCACTGCTCTCCGGACTTGGAGTCCCATCCGAGGCGTCCCAAACTGCAACTTCTGGCTCCCGGCCTCCGCTCAGGAGGCTCCCACCGTGGGCGAAGACAGGCTCGAGAGAAAGCTGGCTGGCCGGCAGATCCGGGTGGCCGGCGTGGAAGCGGCGGCCAGTCTGGAGAGAGGAGGCACTTACTGGGATCGATGGGGGGCTTGTCTCCGCCGCTCTCATTCTCAGCATTGTTTTCGGAGAAGGCGCCTTCGCTGGGCTGTTTTTCTCTATCAACTGGAGGAGAACCACAAGCATAGTCAGTCAGGGACAAAGTGTGAGTGTCAAGCGTGGGACAGTCACCCCTTCTGGCCGAGAGCGGTTCAGGTTTAATGCCGTAAGGCCGGCTGGAGGACAAGCCCGCGAAGGAGAGCGCGCCGGGCGTGGGCTCCAGCCAGGAGCGCATGTACCTGCCGTCCGGCGCCGCCGCCGCCACGGGCGCCTGGGGGTGCACGTATGGGTGGTGGTGGTGGTGGTGGTGATACACGGCGGCGGGCACGCTGTTGGCGCCCGCCGCGTGCACCGGGTTCCACGAGGCGCCGAACACCGCCGCCTTGGACTGGAAGCTGCACGGGCTGAATTCGGGGTGCTCGGCCAGCGCTGCCGCCTGCCGGGGGGTCTGGCCCAGGGCCCCCGGCGCAAAGCGGCCCGCGCCCAGCTCGTCGGCGGCGTCGGCGCCCAGCAGGAACGAGTCCACGTAGTAGTTGCCCAGAGCCCCGGTGGTGGCCATCGCCGTGCCCCGCGCCTGGCCGGCCCGGCCCGACCCGCGGAAATTATGAAACTGCAGATTTCATGTAACAACTTGGTGGCACCAAGGGGGGAAGTACAGTCACCTAATAAGTTGCCGGCGCCCGCGCCCCCATTGGCCGCGCGCGTCACGTGCCCGCCGGCAGAACAATAACGCGTAAATCACTCCGCACGCTATTAATGGCCCGGTGTTTTGCAGTCATAATTTTTATAGCAAAAGCCATATGTTTTTATGCAAAGGGATCGCGCCGCTCCACGATCAGGTTTGTTTTAATTGTGGCCAACGAAGATTAAAAGATCAAATCTGGCCTTGCCTCTGCACACCCCACCACCACCGTCAGACACACACACACTTCTTAAGAGGACTATTTTATATCACAATTAATCACGCCATCAGGAAGGCGCGGGTCCCCCGTGCGAGTGCGGCCAGCGGAGCCCCTCACATAAAATTAGACAATAATTGAAGCCATAAAAAAGGAGCCGAATCGCATTCTCGCTCTACTGTATTTAAATCTATATTTATGATATTTCATAAGAAGTTATTGTTTCAGAAGCCACGCAGGCTGGTGGGAAGTCGGGAACGACCAACAGATTCGCTTGCCTCGCCGTGGCTCCCAGCTGTAAAAATTTACGAGGACTTGGAAAGGTTAAATTAGACTGTTGTGTTTGGTTGGTGAGCTCCCTGTAAATAATCCCTGCAGTCCCCAGGAGATGCTAGTTTACCCCTGGCCGGCCGCGTAAAGTCAAATTCAACGCAGTCACTGTCCCGAACAGAGCTGCCGCCACCCCTGCCCAAGCGCGCCGGGCAGAGACAGGCCTCTAAGGAAGGCACCAGCTGGTGCGGCCCCGAAACCTGCCCGCCTGGAGTGCGGAGCGTCAGGGCAGCCCCCCAATTCGCTGCTGTGCCTCCAGCGAGGGCCCCCACCGAGAAACAAGCTGAGCAGGAAAGGCCAGCTGCACCGGCGTGAGGGGTTTGAGGGCCTGGTTGTACCGCTCGCTCGGCGGGCCTGGGGCCCCTACCCCGCGCACACGCGCGTCCAGAGCGTCCTGCTCCTCGTCAGCCCGGAATCTAGAGCCCTGAGAGGCCGCGGCTGGCGACCCGACCCCGTGCTCCGGCCTCGAGGGCCCAAACACTGAGCTCGGCAAGCCTCGTCGCACTCCCCGAACCTGAGCCGGGAGAAACGCCCGGCAGCATCAATGGAAGGCGAGTTAAGTTTGCGACGAGGCAGCCCCACCTAAGAGATCGCTCGGCTCTGGTGACTAGGGAGGCCCGCAGGGGCCCGGAATGACCCGTTCAGGGATAGGAGGCTTATTCCTTCCTTCCCGGCCCCGGCCTCCGCCCTAGTTACCCACTGGGCCGAGAGAGTTTCAAGGCCTAAAGCGAGGGATTGCCGCTCAAGTCCAGGGCTAGAAATTAAAACCGGGAGGCGCACGAGGCAGTGACTTTAATCCCATGTCCTGGCCTGGACACGTTGGGAAGGTTGTTTCTCTCCCCTTAGAGCCTTTCAGGTTAAATAAAAAGGCCGCAGCCTCTCTGTTAATTGGAAGGGGGAAAAAGTCCCAATTCCAAACAGAAAGCAGCGACTCCTAGAAATGAGGTAATTAAATTCACGTGTGAATACTGTGCCTGCAAGGGTGTGTTTCTCATTAGCCCACATCCCCGGCTGCCAGCGCCGGCCGCGAAGGCGCGCTTCCAGCTCCTTTTTTGCCTTCATTTTTCCAACAGCCCCAGTAATTCCGGAAAAACACAGACACATCCCTACCCCGGTGGGGACCCCCAAATGCCAAGCTCTCCCCGGGAGCAAGGCGGTGAGGCTGCGCGGAGCCGGTGCGGGGAAGAGGGAAGTGGCCGACCCGACACAATGAACTCCGACGTGGCCAGTCCTGGCCGCCTCAGCCCCCTCCCCCCTAATATTTTCCTTTCCCTGGAAATTCCTCCGCGTCATCCCCACCCCACCCCCACCGCAGCCCAAGGTGTCCCAAATAGCGGCAGTCCGCGGGGCCTCTCAGATTTCTACTAAGAAAAATTGATCGTGGAGGAAACCCTCACTCCTAATTGTAATTGTCTGCAAACAGATTGGCGCGCCCAGCTCCTTTTTCCACCTTTTGTACCCGAAGAAGACAACGATTGTTAGTAGTATTTTCTTTTTTAAATAAAAAAAGGCTGTTCCTTCAAATGGCTTTAACCCTAAAGCAGTAGCGTTACTAATTAATAGGAGTTGAGTGTTAAACAGCGTTGCTGATGCCCAGAAGGGAAACAAAAGAAACAAAAAGCAAAAACACGAAACCAAACTTTGTTGGTCCTCAGCCGAGAGGTTCTGGACGAAAATATTCAAGCTTTTATTTTTGAAGTGAAAAGGGACTGCGTGTGCATGAGGAATTAAGGAATAATAAGGTGGTATAATTACAAGCCACCTTCTGGCCTGACAGTTCTCCTAAAACCCGGGCCTCGGAAATCAGCCCAATACCCAGGCCTGGCAAATGGCAGAGGAGAGTTGAGGGGAGCAGGGTGTGGGCCTTTCAGATAACAGGACCGTGGGCTGTGCGATGAAAACAGTTCCAGGGCCCCCAGCCTGAGCTGGGAAGGGAAGCACAGCCCCGCGGACAGGAGTCTGAAGGCATGTATGTGTGTGTGAGGCGGGGGAAGGGGAAGAGATGGTTGTTTTCAGTTTCTGATAGCGAGAATGGCCCTTCCGGCCATAGACTACAACTTGGAACAAGGATTCAAGTTTGTATCCCAAAGGCCCTGGAATTTGAGATTCCTTTTCCCTATTATTTAAAATAGACTGGCTCTTGGAAAGTGTCCCCTTATCTCCCTTCCCCAGCACCTGGCCGCACAAGGGTGCTTCATCTGACACACATTTTGAACCTGATAGAAGCCACTGGCAAGCAAGCAGCTAAGCCTGCCCTAGCGGGGCTCCTTCATTTCCATCAAGCTCCAGTTCTTCTCGGCAGGCCTGGAGAGCCCGCGAGGAGCTTCCCCACCCAGCTCCAAACGGAGGAGGACGAGACCCCACCGAGCCTGGCTGGGCTGCAGTCCCTGTGCGGCCGTGTCCCCAGTGAAGCTGGAGCAGGCCTCCCTGCCCTCTGTATGGGCACACAGAGGGGCCTCGGAGCGTGGGCGCCACCCAATCTGGTCTTCTGGGCTGCGTTGCAGACCGCGGAGAAGGCATGCAAGGCCGCCGCCACCCGGTCGTGATCGTAACCGAGGCCTTGTCTGCTCAGCGGCACTCCAGGCCCAGGCCCAAGGCCCTCGACAGACGCCTCACCAGAGCTCTTCCTCAGCAGACCCCATCCACAACTTGAGCGCACAGAGGAAGATGAGACCCCACCCTCAGGCTCTCCCAAGCCAGCCCTAGCCTCTACAGAAGACTGATTTGGGAAGGAGAGGAGGCTGAGAGAAGAGAATGGAACAGAGAGAGACCAAAAACGAAAGACAAAGACGGAAAGAGGAAGGTGCAAAGAAAATAGAAAAAAAAAAAAAAAAAAAGAGGGAAGGGAGAACGATGAAGAAAGGAGGAGAGAAGGAAAGAAAGAAAGAAGAGAAAGCGTCAGAGGCGACTCCTGAGAGCAGAGGCCACGCTTACAGAGAGAAGGATAAGTGACAAGGCCAGGACCCCAGCCCCTGTCTTCCCAGTGTTTCCTGTTCGGGCCTGGGTCTCCACTAGAAAAAGGATCTTCCCTGAGCTCGCACCCGGGATTGGAGGGTCTCAGCCTCCCAGGGAAACGGCCGGGGTTCCAGGCGCCAGGCCCAGGCTGGGAGAGGGGGAGGCCGAAGACCGAAGCGTGCGCCCCTGACCTTGAATGGCCCGGGGCCCAGAATTCCTACCACGCCCACGGCGTCCGCGAAGGAGTAGCTAACCTGATCGTACCTTCTCCGGGCCAGGTGAGGTGGAGTGGGGGAGGCTGGCCCGCTGGCACAGCGGTGACAAGGAGGCAGTCACGAGGCTCCTGCGCGGGGAAAGCTGAGGTTGCCACCGCGGCCCTGGCACTGTCTGGGCCTGGATGTCCGGCCCGGCCCGGCCCCCGCGCGCACCGATACCTGGAGACGATTTCAACTGAAGTAATGAAGGCAGTATCGTGCTGTCGAGAGAGAAAGGTGGATCCCAACAACAGGAAACTACCTAAATCACCGACCAGTTCTGGTGCTGCCCGTGCGGGGCTG